GTTAAATGTGGGTTAATGGTGTAAAACGACCAAAATTGTTAGTCATATTCACAGTTTTAGAGTGGTTCTGTGCAGAATCTAATCTGTGTATGAAGCAGCTCAAAGAAATTGTTTAGGTTAATTTGCAGCAGATAGTAGTTTTGAGTAGGGCTGAGTGTTATATTGTATATATATTTCCATGACAGTAAAGCTCTTTAAAGCCATTTTTGCTACTGATGTTTTCTCAAAAAATTCAATTGAAACATCATAATGCACATATGCACAAATTGCAAGACAAGGGTGAATTAACACACTTTTTAGGAAACTTACCGTCCTTAAAATTAAGTGCATAAACAACATAGCACTTATATATCAGCCAGCCAGGTCTGAAGCAAAATCAGCCATCTGACAAAAAATCATTGATTAGATCAACTTGAAGTGTTGTTTTTGTCAACAAGCTAGAGCCCTTTGTGTGATTGGAAGGACTCTTCCTATTTAGGGGCCAGCAAGTCCACACTACTTATCTTTACCCAGAGCAGCTATTTTAATACAGGACTATGACCTGGCCCATTTTGTGCATGGAGGGCAGGAACACCCTCACAGGGTTAACGGTCTCACAGTCTCAAATGCCAAAGGCCCTTGAAGTGAACTGGAGCCTCCAGTGTCACAAGAGAGTGTTTTCCTGAAATCCGAACAGCCTCTGAGGAAATGGCTTATATGGAAAGAAAGAAAAAGGAGCTAGAGAATAAGAAAGAGAGACTCTTCCAAATGGCTCTTTTCCCCTTATCATCCATCTGTCTATTCATCCTTATCAGATCTCCTCTTGAGATCCTCATGTGGTCGCAATTCCAGGTTTGAATGATCATTACCCGCTCTAACACAATACGTCCAGTGTTCCTCCTATAAAAGCGGATACTTAAGAGGCCTGGAGAACAAATCACTCTCGACTGACTTCATTTTAAATGACCTGATTTTACATGACAGCACAGAACTGTTTATAGAAATTGGATGACATCAGAGACATTATAAGAGGGAGATCATGGTCCACTCAAATAAAAATGAACGCTCAATAAGGCAGCTGCAGAAATGAAGTGCCATCTTTTAATTAAAAGAGCTAGAACATAGAAAAATACTCTAGAATCTGCATGTGCATTAGCTGGAAAAAGACCTAAAACATAATTTTATGTAGGCTACTTAGATATATGGGTCTGCTGCCAAACCATTACCATTTCCACTTGCCCATAACCTGTCCATTTGCGGTTGTGTTCTCATCGCATAAGTGCTGGCAGACACATGTGTAATGGTCTTAGCACATTAATTATAGCGTATTATGGCTGTATTTGTTATTGCTGTATTGGGTGTAATAGTCAATGAGACATGCAATGTTCACAACCACTCTGGCCAAAACCGACACCTTAAAACCAACAGTAGTTATTTTACCAAATTTAAAATGATATCTGCGGGCAACTATGAATGCCACAAGTTTGGCATATAGAGGTTAACCACATAAGTAAAAATAAGCTGAGACTGGTATAAGACTCCCTGGTTTTATCCACTTTCCAAGGTTCGATTCACTTAAAAATGGTTACTTCTCAAACTAACTTCTAAATGTGTCACCTTGCATGTTAAATGTATAAAGTATGGGTATTTTGTGAATATAGTAAACTATGCCACTCATTGACAAAAATTCTGCTGAATATTTTAGAACTATTTTCTTGATGTCAAAGCAAAATTCAAGGACCAAGTCATACATCTAATATCAGTTTCGATATCAAGTACAAATAAACCAGGTTTCAAAACAAAGCAATCTGAAGTATACATTCTTTCAAAAGTATTGCTGCCTTTGTCACAATATCAAGCAACTGCATTAAATGTAAAGGTTCTCACAACAGTGCAAAAATATCACCTATTCAAATAAAACAGGACAAAAAAACAATGATCAAATTACTCTCCTGTAGGCCTATCTGTAAATAAGTAGCTCCACGCCTGATTGGCTTAAAATTGGCTGCTCTAAAATTAATCAGTGTGATGCATGGCATAAACAGATACAAGGAGGGTCACAATAACATTGCCCTGAGCCAAACCGGAACATGCAGCATATTTCACTTGCATGTCATTAAAATCTTTGAAGTCAACTTTGAGCTCTAGTATTGAATCACAACAGCAACGAGCTCAAAGGTGCTGCCTTCAAAAGTATTGCTGCCTTTGTCACAATATCAAGCAACTGCATTAAATGTAAAGGTTCTCACAACAGTGCAAAAATATCACCTTTGCTGATTTACTCCTCCAAGCACAAAAACGTTCAGGTGCGTCATCCGTTTACACTTATCCAAAGCCACGTTAACTTATTCTAATCAGTGCCGGACACTTTTAGAAAAGCAGCAATCCTGACATCAGTTCAGCATGAGCGGGACAAGTTAAGCCAACTCTAGTCTAAACACCCAGTGAGGTGTGTGTGTCCGTATGTGTGTGTGTAGTCAAAGGGGGTCAGAACCCCCTGGAGGGAGGCTGGCGACACAGACTCCTACGGCTCTAAATCAATTGTGCATGCTGGGTCACCTTTCAACGGTGGGGACGAGTCGTAGAATTAAAATCACACATTCAAGCAGCATCGATTTGCATTAAATGAGCTGTGATTGTGATTGATAACCCCCCGTTGGTTCAAATGCATACAATATGACGTCTGGATGCAGTCAACGGTTTGATTGATCATCACTGAATCAGTGTCATTCCATTTACCAAGACAATCCATTTCTACACCAGACCAAACAAGATTGGGTTTCTCCTAAAACTGATATGGAAAAGGTACCACATCTGCCACTGGTTAAAAAACCCTCACCGTTGGCATCATGGGAGATTTTCCCGGGGGGAAACAACCTTGATGAAGTTCATCACAAAAGGGAAGGAAGTTGCAAAGCTCAAAGAACAATCAAGATGTTTTTGATTTACTCTCCAAGTGGGGTGGAACCGCTTTACTAGAAAAGTGAACTGCTTTTGTGCGAGTGGGGGTCACAACTCTTGACCTTGAAAGTGGGTTGACAGAGTAAATTGATTTAAGGCATCTTAGACAGTCGTACATTTGAGTTTTATGAGCCTCAACTTGTTCAGTTTGGCTTGGTATACTTCTGTCATGGAGTTCCATAATAATAGCACTGTACAATAGAAAACTGATAACATATCTAAGAGTGGTTGACGTATTGACACAGCTAACTTAAACACAGAAGGGTTGGGTTTTAGATCTTCAAAGCTTTGAGAACTAGGCTATTCAAGGAAAGTTTTAGAGAAATGCTTCAGTGATCATATAACGCACATGGACCGAACTCAAATAAGAATGAAGCTTTATAAGTCTTAAAGAGTGTGGGTTTGACAATAATTAGCAAATTCCTGTGCGTGCTGTGAAGCGTTATGGGCCTGAAAACAGTAGGCCTGCAGTTTGGTGTGGACGGCAGGTGCTGTCTTATGATGAGGTTTGCAGTCACTCTCCAAAACCAATTAAAAGCGCTAAATGTGAGTTTGGCTCGGAAGCTCTGCGACTGCAGAATCCAAATACTGCTGCGCCCTGCTTGACAGGGCAAGCCAGTAAGCAACGATTCAGCTTTTTCCTAGAAGAACAAACAAAATGGCAAATTCATGACCTTTTCAACCATAACCACATCACATCCTGCTGGTCCCAATATATTAAACGAACAATTTAGACATCATGGAGTTAATCAAAGAATGCGGGTAATGTAAAGGTACGGGGTTCTAGCACTGCACCGCTTGAGGTAAAGCGATTCCCGAGAAAGCAATATTTGAAATCCTTCAAAAACAACTGGATCTACAAACACGTTAAATCCATCTTGATTAAAGCGGAAAAAAGCCTTGAATAATGAACTGTGCCGCCCGGCTTTTGTAATTAATCTACCAGTGCATTCTGGTCTGGCGTTTGGCAAACAGGGGAATTGCTTGGTCCCTTCTCTCAAACTGCTAATCGCAGGATGGATCTCCGGCTGTGTAGACCTGGGGCATATTGATGTGCGTAGCTGATCTTGACAATTTAACTCTATGTTTTTTAAACCCCCAGGTGCAGCCTGGCCAATTGTACTTTTTTCGAAACAACATTTTTTTATGGTTTTTACAGCACATTAGGTTCAATAAGAACCATTTTTCACTGTATAAGCTTCACTCTATGGACCTTTTGGTTAAAAAGTAAAAGGATTCCAAAAAGGTGGTTACTGCAGCGATGCCATAGCATAGAATAACCATTTTAGACTCAGTGAACAGTTCTTAAAAGAACCCTTTTTCACTGTAAAGAACCTTTTGTTGAATGAAAAGCTTTCGTGGATGTTAAAGGTTCATCATGGAACTAAAGATGCTAGTAATGAACCTTTATTTTTAAGAGTGTATATTACTTGTTCTTCAGATAAGAATGGAACTGATCGTCTCAAATTCTTGTTCTTTCATTTAATGAGACTGTAAATTCCTTTATTTGTAGGAATAAGCATGAATCTGTAAGAGAGTTCAGGCCCTGTGAAAAAACAGTAGACTCATCGGACATCATTTCATCACTAGCATCTCACATCTCCTGTTTTGCATCTGCTATCGATTAGTTCAGAAATGTGCTTAAAAACACACTACTGAAATAATTGAAAAGGCATGTTTGGTTTTCTGTAAATTTCTCTGAACTGTGTTGAAGTTTCAAAATGATTGTTTCTTCAACTCTTGTTTGTGTTTTTAATTACTCCGACACCGAATGAAAGTGGACACAGCTGGATGAGACAAATCTAAGACGTTTGACGGGAAAGCCATTAGAAACGCACGGACGGTTTTCACTCATTCGGCGTGCGGTTAGACTGGAGAATCCGTCTACGCAAGTGAATTTCCCGTCAAACCTAGAACATTTATCAACTCATCAAATTCAGTCATGAAAACCAGAAGGTAGCACGTGAGAAAAGTATATTCCAGAAAGTTCACACGGCTCCCCAAAACCACAGGCCACACAAATAGAATCAAGAGAAAGCCAATCAGAAATGTTCTCTTACCTTTGAAGGGCAAGAAGACCCGAGGGGCATTCTGAGGTTCGCTGTCCGAACCCAAAATCAGGACTGATAGAGCCAGGAGAACCTGGACAGACCATCGACTGTCCAACAGCATGGTGCATCCGTTGAAGTCAGAAAGACACAACTGCAGAGGTCACTGGGAAGAAATATTGTAAATAATATGATGTCACTTACTGCTTTCCAAAGTTAAAAAGTTTGTTTCTTTGTCGTATTTCAGCACAAAAACTGTAAGCACTACATTGTATTCAAATTAAGTTACTCTTATTCTTTAAAGCATAAACACGCCTCCTTTTTATGTAAATTAGGTTCATTATTGTTTGCGCCTTATTCACAAAACTCACTGCTGCTCACCTTGAGCTATATTGGCACACTATTTTAAAGAAATATTTGTGTACATTTTTATTGCAGTACCATCAAATGAAGACCAATAGACTGAGAAGGAAAATATTCAATGAAAAGGGAAAGTTCATGCTAAATGCATTCTCTTAACATCCAAGCAAAAGCCAACGTCATATCCAAAATCTTGTTCGCCATATGTATTCCAGATACTTTAAAGAGAATCTAAGGGGCCCTCCGCAGTAAACATTTCACCAAAAAATAAGGGATTGGTTACATTTGTTTGAAACATACAGCAAAAGGATATTCCCATGAGATTATGTTGACAAACCCCACTGCTGCCACATAGTCCATCTCTTTCAGATGGACAGGAACAAGGCTGCCACCCATAGAGGGGCTGCACTCATGTTGCTCAGTGGTGGCGTGACACATAATCCTAAAAACGTGAATCGGTGCAGATATATATCAATCAATGATACCTTTCCCAAAGCCACATGCTATTGATCACAAATGTATGGACAATATATTTTCATTGTATTTTAAAGAAGGAACAAACATCTAAAAACACAGACAAGTAGTGCTAGCAGAAGACGATCAGTCCAAAAAAGCGCTGCCTGGCCGCAGAGCATTTATGAGTGGAAGCAGCTGTTTAAACCTCAGCTATTTGCAGGCAATTTGTTAACTGTCCGGCTGTTTATCTAAATTCTCTGCCAAACATTTCACCAAAAAATAAGGGATTGGTTACATTTGTTTGAAACATACAGCAAAAGGATATTCCCATGAGATTATGTTGACAAACCCCACTGCTGCCACATAGTCCATCTCTTTCAGATGGACAGGAACAAGGCTGCCACCCATAGAGGGGCTGCACTCATGTTGCTCAGTGGTGGCGTGACACATAATCCTAAAAACGTGAATCGGTGCAGATATATATCAATCAATGATACCTTTCCCAAAGCCACATGCTATTGCCACTGATCACAAATGTATGGACAATATATTTCCATTGTATTTTAAAGAAGGAACAAACATCTAAAAACACAGACAAGTAGTGCTAGCAGAAGACGATCAGTCCAAAAAAGCGCTGCCTGGCCGCAGAGCGTTTATGAGTGGAAGCAGCTGTTTAAACCTCAGCTATTTGCAGGCAATTTGTTAACTGTCCGGCTGTTTATCTAAATTCTCTGCCTCTTTACCTCACACAAGCCAGTGAAATTAAACAACAATTATATGAACACAAGTGCACACAGACACAGTCGAAGGCAAGCAATTATGGATACAGTCTCACAAAAACACTGAAAGAATGGATCAATACCACCCCTAAAATGTATGGCTTTTAGGGCATTTTTTATGAGAACAGTCAAAATATTATGTGAAAAATTGTGGGACAGCAAGAAACATTGAGGCTGTATCATTCAAATCTCATTCTTTTATTAATGTTTTAAACTTAGCTCCCACTTAAGGGGAACTTTATCAACTTTTTACTGTAATAAAATAATTCCTCAGCTACTACATTAACACATATTAACTGTTATTTAATAAATTCCAATATGATGAATTTAAAATAATAGCTTCCCATTTAATTAAGCAAATGAATAGAATGGGTTTTTCAGCGACTCATAACTTAAAAAAAATCGAATTTGGCTTGTAAATTTAGCCTTACTGGAAGTGCAAGTTGTCAACATTCATAAAGTCTTCTGACTGATCAACAGGTTGACTGGTCTCACTTATTTTTAATGCTGCTCTTTCTACAAGTTCTTATCCCATTTGGCACTACAGTATCAATATGTACAGCCCATATATGCATTTATTGTGTTTGTTTATTGTCAGTTTGTGAAATTGTTGCAGTGTTTGTTTTCTAAAGACATGCACTCTGGCCCCTGGAGACATTGTATGTTGTTTCTTTTTCCTGCCACCCAGCAGAGCAATGAAAATAAACTACTTTGACTCTCTTAACTGCCTATTGTGCTGTTATATATACAGGAGTGCTTGAATAGCTCAGTGTATGGTTAACTTGTGACAGAAAAAACACTGGGAAACAGCAAGAAAGGAGCTGTGTGAAGTAAAGCAGCTTGGTCTCGCAGTGGAGAGTAGAAATAAGTGATAATACAAATAATTATAAGGTTATTTAGTGTGCATACTGGGATATCATGAGCTGTTCTGAGTAATGAAAGTTCAGAGAATGTGTTACTCTTTATCTAATCAACATTAACATGGCAGTTTTTGAGTCCTGTGGTGTGACTTTACTGCTATACTCATTCCATACATGCAGTGTTTAGGACCATATTACACTCAAGTACTACAGTATGTGGAATATTTGTACTTTTAAAAATCAATTGACATTATATAACCATTAACTTGTGAAGGCAAAAAAGGCTTTTCGTCATTAAACTAAAATCGTGATATGTTGCCAACTACCCGTATACAGCAAACAACAATTACACCCATTAATTCAAGAAATTACATTTTAAGAATTGAGACAAAAATATTTCTGCCAACACTGAATGTTACAAAGGGAAATAATTATTATAGGAGTTTGAAGGATTCATTGCAAAGCCAACTGAGTTGGGGGGAAAAAGTGGCATTTAAAAATCTTTCAAATCTTAACGTTTTAATGTGTCTTATAATAACAACAACAATATTAATAATACAATTAGTATTAAAATAATACTAAGATAGTGTTAATAAATGGAAATGCATGCAATCCAATGTTTACCTGCTTACTCTAAACTGTCCAGAAGAAACTTTGATCTCAACTTAAAGAGTGAATCCAGTAAATGTCTGCGAGTTCTGGTTTATGTTCATATGCCCCAGGTCCTGCAGGTATAGTGAGGTACAGTCTTTATCTCTCTGAACACCTGAGCGCGGTGTACTGCTTTTCCTCTATTATAGTGTTCATCTGGTACAGTTTTTGTAAAATCCCGTTTGATATCGAGCTAAGAAGCGTTAAAGAAGCGTAAAGCCACCTGACAACTCCGTGAACTGCTTCAGCGCCGTGGCTGTCCGTCTGAATATCTCCAAACACAAGCGCACTCCTGCCCGCACTCATTCGCTCGCCTCAAATGCTGTCCAAACAGCTTGGCAGGTGGATGCATTGTCGCTCATTTGCATACGACACGCCCGTTGGGTGGGGAGTTTACCTTGGAGCTCCGTATTTTCTGTTGAATAACACAATAAAACCACACTAGCAAACATTTAAACAAGAGTTAACTAAAGACTGAATTGTGTCTTAAAGACAGGAATATATTTGTAATATAATAATAGGCTTGGGGCAAGTTATCATGGTTTGTGTGTGTGTGTGTGTGTGTGTGTGTGTGCGTGCGCGCGCGTGCGTGTGTACATGTATGTATTATTTAGATATTTATTTTATCACAATATTTTCTGGCCAAAACCGTTTTAACCTTTTAGATTTTTGCTGTTTCATTTCTTTTTTGTTTCATTTTGTTTTTTTGTTTTTTTCAATTTTTCTTCAGAATGTATGAAATATTAGGCCATTTGATTTATTTATTTATTTTTTTTATGTGTGAAAACGTATCCCATAACTTATAGGAACCAAAAAGATCTTCTTTTTTCTTCTTCTTGACAAATAGTGGTGAAAATACTCAATAGCCTTTTGAAGCCAAAGCATTAAGGTATGTGTCCATACAGAACTTGCAAAAATAAAATAACCCAGAGAAATCGCCTATTCAGAATGTATAAAGCATAAAGAATGTAATAGCTAGCAACCAGTCTCTCTCTATATAAACATATTTATTGTAACATATTGTATATCTATTCAGCTATCTATTGATCTATTTGTATTTTATTTGTTTGCAGGTCAGAACATGAGAGCATTGTGCAATTGAGATTTTTAACTCCAGCATTTTCCCTTCAAGGACAGAACTTTGAAAAGTCCAATTTTGTTGACACTGGAATAATCACATCCAGTTCTGCTGCTTTTTTCAAACATATATTTGCTTTGAAACGCAAAATAAGCAATGCAATTACAGTTAGAGAACCTCAGGTTTAATTTATCCACGACCGTTTACACACCACACACACACACATTCAGGTCCCTTCAGCTCTGTAAGCAGAAACACATTCTTGTATTAGGGAGTAAATGTTTCGCGTGTTAATACATGACACAGGATTTTAGATAAAAGGCATACCGATGCTTGAAAAACTACCTGCGCAAGATTTACAGACAATATCAGCAGAGGCGGACAAAGTACACAACTCCATTACTTGAGTGAAAGTACAGATACTGCTGGTCAAATATTACTCCATTACAAGTAAAAGTTGTAAAGACAGATTTTTACTTAAGTAAAAGTACAGAAGTACTTGCTTTTAAAAGTACTTAAGTACCAAAAGTAAATTTCCTTTTTTTGTGTCAATGCACTGTTTTATTATTGTTGTATGTAATACTTGCAATACCTCTGAAACAACTTACAATACATTACACCTACTGAATACACAGACTAGCATGTAGTATCTTTGGAATAAAGAGCTTTTAGAATGTTAAAAACCTATGGGGGAAAATTATTATTTAACACCCTTACATCCCCACAAAAGCAGGATGGTAGTGATCTCACACAGCTCTGGACACATCTAAGTGTAGCCATTCATCCACATTTGAACAGAGTGGACAATGAAATTGCTGTAAATACAGACCGATAAGGAATAAAATAAAAAAATCAAACCTGCTTTAAAACCCAGCAACACAACTATAGCTGTATAACTTTACAACAGCAGCACTGCTTTAACAAAAAAGCAAAACAGCAAGACTTATTTGACATCAAAAAAATTTTTTTTTTAATGCGGTCTAATCACTCTCGCGGTACTTTGGTGTCACACACAGAACAGTCTATGCAGTGCTGCTTCAAGTCCAACACCTATTGTGTTTTATTAGGAGATGCACAACAGTTCTTCTGTGGCTTTAGTACTTTGATGTCACACACAGAACAGTCTGTGCAGTGCTGCTTCAAGTCCAACACCTATTGTGTTTTATTAGGAGATGCTCAACAGTTCTTCTGTGGCTTTATAGGTAATATTTTCACGTACACAATTTAGCAAAATCAGACAATATTGTGTCTAATATAAACCACAATATTAACTTCTTATTATTGAATTGTTGTAAATAAATATCACATTTGGAACTGGTCAGTGCTCAAAAAATGCTTGGAAATCACTTCTTGTAGCCCCAAGAGTGATTACTGATAAACTGTCTGAAAAAAAGACAATTTTTAGAGAAGAAAAAAAATCACCCACTGACTTTCAAAGCTGCTAACGACTTTCTACTTTGAGGATCTTGATAGAAATGTAGTGGAGTGAAAAGTACAATATTTGTCTTTCAAATGTAGTGAAGTTAAAGTCACAAGTTTCCAGAAAAAATAATACTCAAGTAAAGTACAGATACTCAAAAAGTGTACTTAAGTACAATACTCAAGTAAATGTACTTAGTTACTGTCCGCCTCTGAATATCAGCATGAAACTTTTTTCTCATAGTCTTTCAAAGACAGGAATGAGTTTCGCTCTCCTTGATGTTAGACATGCAGTGACATAACTTAATGACGTTCATCTGTTCAAAATGACTGTGTGTCTCCCTCAGTTAAGGCGATAGCAACATGGTGCCACTACAGCATTCAGACTGCTTGATATAGAGAGTGTTGAACCCACGTGGAACGCTTGGGAAAACCTCTGAGAGAAATCAGGAGGGATTTTGTGGTATGTATCTTTTCTTTCCTTTTTTTCTTCTGCTTAAGCATGCAATTACAATTTAAAATAACTGTTTTCTATTTGAATATATTTAAAATGTAATTTTTAACCATCATTACTTTTCAGTGGCACATGATCCTTCACTCTATTAGGCTGCTTAAAAACATTTCTGATTATTATCAATGTTGAAAACAGTTGTGCTGCTTAATATTTTTGTGGAAGCTATGATATATTTTCTCAGGATTCATTGATCAATAAAGTTCAAAAGAACACCATTTATTTGATTTGAATTTTTTTAAAATAAAATATAAAATATTGTTACAAAAAATTATAATATATATATACATACATACATACACTACCAGGCAAAGTTTTTGAACCATACGATTTCTAAAGTTTTTTTTAAAGAATTTTCTTCTGCTCACCAAGCCTGCATTTATTTGATCCAAAATACAGCAAAAGCAGAAATATTGTGAAATATTTTCACTATTTAAAATAACTGCTTTCTATTTGAATATATTTTAAAATGTAATTTATTCCTGTGATCAAAACTATGTATTAGTGTAACATTTTCAACATATATAAGATGGCTACAAACTCAATAGACAAGTAGTAAATTTCCCATAGTTCTGCAGTTCTGCAAATTCTTTGAATAGAACCACTTCCTTCTTGGTCAGCAGAATCTATAGGATGGTCAGAAAAAAGTGGGGCATCAACATGATTAAAGTGTTCTGTAGCAGTCAGTTTACAGACATCTTTGTCTCTCACGTCATGAAGTTATTTGAAAACCTTCGACTAATGAAAAGTAATTCGCTATTGTCAAAAAAAGATTGAAAAAGCTAATTCCAGGCTTCGCATTGCTGCACTTCTGTCGCTCACATTCTTTATTAGCCTCCTATTTAATCTACATTCGCCGCAAAATTCACATTATAGTCACAATGCAGCCTGCCGGTGAGATTGGGCTCGGGCTGAAGAGGTTGAATGGACAGAACCGGAGAATGAAGGGGAATCTGTCCTTTTCAGCACTGCCGAAGCATTCACCCTTTCCTCCTGTCTCGCGCCGACCTGCAATAAAACTGTTTTCAAAGACGACTTGGCAGAGGTCAAATGGAAGATGTCTGTAAATGAAAGCAGCCTGACTTTGTCTCCCTCCAGGCGAACTCTGACAACTTCGACAACTTATCTTTTCAGCGTGGGGCAGAGAGGGGCTTCTGGAGGAGGCAGGTCTTCACAACTGTCTCAGAAGCCTTCACCCTCTCCTTTATGTGGAAATAAAAGGCATTTCAGATGTCAAGACTGGATGTGGAGTCTGAGTGAGCCTGTGAACTTGTTTCCACCATGCTATTGTCTTTTATCTGTTTTGCTGTATTGACATTGAATCTGCCCTCGAGGGCTCGACCCCTAATATGGCTGCAGAAATATTAGTTGAATGTTTCAGTGGGATGACATGACGAGCTCATGCTGAGGCACCTTGTGCAACAGAAATAATAGGCCTGTGTTCCTGTGGTGCAGTAAAGCCCTGAGGCTTCAGGTGTTATACCTGTGTGTATCTGTGAACTGTGGGTGATAATGAAGGGTGCAGGCACTTTAGTCACAAGTGTTCACACTGTGATTACCTCAGGGGTCAATAACCCGACACCTTTCCCACAGCGGAGGTGTGTGTAGGAAACTGTGGACCCTTTAGTTCTGTGCTTTTTTGTTAATAGGATGTGTATGTGAGTGTAGCTGAAAAATGTCCCCATGATATCTAGCAAAACCTTGATTTTGTGGATGTTTTCTTAACTAAATATTAGTTCATAAATACTGTAAATAATTTGTTATTTATTCTACATTTACTTTACAATATTCTAAATTTTTAAATTAATTAATAATTATTTTAAATGAGGAATTATTTAAAATTATTTTTTTTTACTTAAGGGAATAATTCCGTCATCATTTACTTACCCTCATATTGTTCCAAACCTGTATGATCTGCAGAAATATTTCAAAAAGTATTTTTAAATAACCATGAAAATAGTCCATATGACTCATGATACAATATATATATATATATTTTATAATGTTTTTGAAAAAGAAAAATCTCTTAAGCTCACCAAGGCTGCAATCAAAAATACAGTAAAAACAGTAATATTGTGAAATATCACAATTTAAAACAATTGTATTCTATTTTACTATATTTTAAAATGAAAATTATACCTGTGATCGCAACGTTAATTTACACAGCCATTATTACAGTCTTCAGTGACATATGATCCTTCAAAAATAATTATAATATGCTGATTTGATGCTCAAGAAACATTTATATTATTATCAATGTTGTCAGTTGCATCCTTGCTGAAAATAAGTTTTTTTTTCATTCTTTATGTGCAAAATTTAAC